AGTCTTTTGATTGTAGCTGCAAAAATAATAAAGAAAGAGAAGAAAAACTGACAAATTTTCATTTTACTTGCTTGTCTCCATAGGTCATGTCCAGGATGTTCTTCTAATCATGGATGTGTACAAACTGGCTCTCAGTTTTAAGCTTTCCCGCCTGGAGCAGCTGTGTGTGCAGTACATTGAGGCATCTGTCGACCTGCAGAACGTTCTCAGTGTTTGTGAAAATGCCAACAAGCTGCAACTGGACCAGCTCAAGGTAACTGTATAAAACTAACTTGTTTTTACTGCCCTCTAGTGGTTGAGGTTCAGGGTGTTTTCAGTACAGTAAATGTTATGATTTCAACCAAAAGAAGTCAGTAAAATAATGCTCTGCAGCTTTATTACGTTACTTTTTAAAACCAGAAATACCTAGGAAAGAGAGGTGATACTTGATTCTAATATTCATGCTAACAAATTGTTTCTTTCTCTAGGAACATTGCCTTAACTTTGTGGTGAAGGAGTCACACTTCAACCAGGTGATCATGACGAAGGAGTTTGAACGTCTGTCCACTCCGCTGATTGTTGAGATAGTGCGACGAAAGCAGCAACCTCCTCCCAGGTTGTACTCAGACCAACCTGTGGACATCGGGACCTCTCTGGTCCAGGACATGAAGGCCTACCTGGAGGGAGGCGGCCTGGAGTTCTGCGACATTATCCTGCTGTTAGACGGACACCCACGACCTGCTCATAAAGCCATACTGGCAGCCCGATCCAGGTAGAGTCAGCACAGGTTTTATGATCTTCTTGGTGCACGTACAGCAGCTCGAGCAAGTTATCAGACCACTTTTGTACTTTTTTGTGTAATGATACTAAGCACACATTTTTATTTGGTATTTTCCCTCCACAATTTAATGTGCTGCTGCTTATTGTCAAAAGAGAAGAAGCACACTCAGTCTTACTACTCAAGCAAGTTTAACTCTTAATGGCAAAAGAGTGCCATCTTTAGGTTTTAATAAGATGATTTTAACAACAAAATTTTGTTTTTTTAGAAACAATTCTAATATGTAAGATTATTTTACCTGATAATATACTTTTTTTTTTTTGTGGAATGCACAAACATATCATAGAGGTGATAATGTTTCTTAACATTATACTTGGAGACATCGTGTTCCCTTTCAGCTTGGTTATATGTCTGACACTTTTTAACGTTTACGCTTTTGTTCCTCAGTTACTTTGAAGCGATGTTCCGCTCCTTCATGCCCGAGGATGGTCAGGTCAATATCTCCATTGGTGAGATGGTTCCAAGTAAGCAGGCCTTTGAGTCCATGCTGCGTTATATCTACTATGGCGACGTCAACATGCCTCCAGAGGATTCCCTGTATCCTTCTCAAATTCAGACTGCTTTAGATTCATTCAGCAAAAGTCTTTCCCAGGCAGAGCCCACTATAATGACAACATTGAAAACAAATTCAATAAAAATACATTTTGAAAGAGACCACATCCTTTGATGAGGCCAACTCATGAAATGGTACCCAGCTTCTGCTCTTCTCAATCCTTGAGCCAGAAAATACTAATTTGACTAACAGAGAGGAACTGTGATGGAGTTAAAGTGGAATGAGAAAGCTGTACCCACAGTGGTTGTGGGAGTGATTCAGATTCAGGCAGACACACTCAAACATACTTCTCTTATTGCTTTGATGTCTTCTCTCCATTTGAGACCCTAACTTAGTGTTAGAAAATGTTGACTTTGTGTTTTTTAGGGAATTTTGTTCAGTCAATTTCATTATTGGTCATTATTGCAACTGCATGTTATTGGACTTCTATTCAGCCATTGTGGTCGCTACTATGAGATGGGGTGCATATAATGAACAAAGCTCTACTGTCTTAATTTGCTGTGTCTAATGTCTTCTGTTTAAAGCTAGAAGTGACTACATGAGTGGTCAAAACACGTCATAATGTTGGTTTAGCATTTTTCACAGGAATGTATCACAGAGAGATGTTTTTTGTTTTTTAATTCCTTGACCTGTCATAAACAGCTATCTGTTTGCCGCACCATATTACTACGGGTTTTCAAACAACAGACTGCAGGCTTACTGTAAGCAGAATCTGGAGATGAACGTCACTGTGGAGAATGTCTTGCAGGTATTTGTGTTTTTACCCGTGGGGGGAGAAGTGACCTAATTTGACAATGTTGTCCCACACTTGAAGACATTTCTTTATGCTGCATGAATCATTTCCGTACTCACTGCTCCCTCAATATTTCCCCCCCTTCAGATTCTGGAGGCAGCTGATAAGACCCAGGCTCTGGACATGAAGAAGCACTGCCTACACATTATTGTCCACCAGTTCATTAAGGTGGGTGGGCTTGTAACCGGAGCCCTGGGGGTTTGCTGCCCACTCACTGCAGCTGAGCTAACCATGTAGGCCTGTCTTCCTTGCGGGAGACTTTGGCCTCTTAGTGGATCACCCTCCCATCTTCTGTGCAGAGAGGAGACTGTTTACAGCCCGGCCGGCTGAACAAGCACCTCATCACATAACGATGAGGGTCAAAGTGCCACTCTGATTATTGTTTGTTATTCAAAGACACAGCGAAGCACTCAATTCTCACCCTCCTTCGCTGGAGTTTTGTTAGTGTTTCTGTGAAGCTTCTTTCTGTTTATCTTCATTTTTCATGCATGAGCAATCAAGTGCTGCTTGTTCCCCATTTTGCTCTGTTTGACTCATTGTCTTGTCTTAATTTATTGCTCATTTTTTTCATTTTTTGCTCTCCTCCCCTCCCAAAGGTATCCAAGCTTCCCAACCTGCGGTCTCTCAGCCAGCTGCTGCTTTTGGACATCATTGAGTCTCTAGCTACACACATATCAGACAAACAGTGTGCTGAGATGGGCTCCGACATTTAGGATGACGCCAAGAGCCGGGCTCTTTTCTCCTTTCACAGAAGCCATACATCTCTGCTCCACCTACTACTAGTCATTCCCTCGTCCCCAACTCGCAGTACTTTCCTTTATGTTGGACCTTGCATGTCTCAACCCCCTCTTATCCACGCAGTATCAAATCATTCTCGTCTCGCTCTGCGTCTCAGTGAGGAGTGAAATCAGTGAAGAAACCAGATTCTAGCTCAGTTACAATTGTTAAGTGGTCCAAAAACTCCCTTTTATGTTCAGTTTGTCATTTTATTTATTTTGATTACAGACAAAAACTGCAAGGTTTTATCCTGCTCAGTATTGTTGCTGCATTTTTTTTTTAAGATATGCAGTGGACTGTAAGAATTCACACTTGTGACAATATAGAAATGTTGCCCTCAGCTGTCTTGTTTTAAGTTACCTGCTCAGATACTTAATTAAAGTATACTATAAAATTGATTATTTATCTAAATCTGTATTCTACTACTTGTAGTATTCTCATCTCTGACACAGTTAACACGCCTGGATTAAATGTTGTAAGGAATCAAAAACATTGTATGAAAATAATCAGAATGTATGTCTGTCTTGAAGCTATTTGTTTTGTTTAATGTTATTGTCATTGGCACACATCTTTGTAATAATAATCACCTCTTAACATTACTAACAAACAAGGTGTCTTTATCCATATAGCAATGTGTATTTAGTGACATCAGTATGCTGTTATTAAATATAAACCCACATGGGTTTCATGTATTTAAGGCCTTAATAAATCTTATACAAATTTAGTCGTGTTGTAGAGAGTCTCTATTCCCCACTCCCCCCACAGTATCACACTCTGCCATCATAAATCTAATGGACCCCCTGAATGGCGACGCATTATCTATCCATGACCCAACATACCTTTTAAATCCTTCACTCACCAAAGCAAAGAGCAGATACTCTGCAGCTTGACTCAGCTACTACATTGCACTCCTAAACTGCAGTACTGCTGTTCTGTGATATTTATGGTAGCTTGGATTAAAACTGCATGTCTCAGATGAAGCAATTTGAAAATATATGTTTTAATAATAAGATGCAGTTTCTTCCCAAAGTCTTTATAATAACATTGAAGTAATTCACACATATCTTTACATGGAATACCAGAACAAATCTGAAACCCTCACCATAAACTAAAGCCATTGTATACACTGAAAAAAAACCTGAAGGTTAATGTCCTGACCTTTCATCAAATTAGCCACGTCCTTCAGGGATTTCAGTTTCCACAGATCTGTGGATGATAAGGTCAGACAATGGTCTTTGGTTTGAGACGGTGAATTCCTTCAGCTTCTGTGAGGTTTAGCACTTGCAAAGATTTTAATTTACTCAAGTGAGCTAAGCAAAAATGTAATGGGTTGATTGTAAACTAGACTCCTTTAGAGCAGATTTCACTGACTTCAGGGTGTTGTTCCCTGTACAGATTTAGTCTTTCCTCAGAAAAGGATACACGATTACACAGCTGTCCTCTGTTGACTTTACGTTGCTGCCATCACACATGTGTTTTAGATTTCATGTATGTGAAACAAATAGAAGGATGTTTTTTTTGTTTTGCCATATAGACTTATGCTGTACAAGAAATATTCAGTTTTATTTGGTGTAAAGACTGAAAAATGCACTTATGATACTTATTTATCAGAATTCTTGTGTATGTCTTCTAACTTATCATATTTGTATTTTGAGATTTTTTTTATGTATGTGTGTAACTGAATTGCCTATGTGTACTTCTGTTTGCACACTCACTTGCCTTAAATTGCCCCTCCAGGGACGAATAAAGTATTTTGAATTTAATTAAACCCTAAACTACATTAAGTATGATTTGAATTAAATGGAAAGTGTAATGTTGCATTTTGGGAATGATTTAGGTGTTTTATTTTGATGATTTGTCAATGGAATTGAGAAAAAAAGGTTGACCTAAATGCTGAGGTACTAGATTGAATTCTCTGTTAGCTGCCAATTGCACTGCAAGATCTGTAAAAACCCTCAGTGGAATTCACAAAGTGTTGGACTCTTTTGGGCTCTGTTGTAAGTACCGTTGCAGTGAGCACAAAGTACTATTCATAGTCCAGATACTTGAGACACTTGGCAAATTCGAAAGCTCCTCCTTCGAGTGTAAATGTCTTAACTGAAAAAAAATATCTCATCGGTGACATCAGTAAAGCAAATAATCTGAAATAATTACAACTTTTAAAAGGTGGACTGAATTTCAAAGCCACGCAGAAACAGGACATTATAGTCATGCCTCGTATGGCTCTCTAATTCTTCTTTTTTCATGTCCAGCTTGCTCATGTTTCACTCATTTATGTCCACTTGTGCACACACACAGCCCAGAATCCCACTGGACATATCTGGTTTCATCTTAAAACAGAGTTCATTGTTCACTGCGATGATACTGAACACTGAAACAAAACAATATGTCTGTTGTCAGGCTGCTGTCCTGGATTATGTCCCACTTATCAGGTGCATTTTATTAAGGTGGCTGAATGAGAGGGCTGGTTGGTCCTGCTACCTCAGCTGGTGGGACGGGCTACAGAGCCATTTAGGATTTGATACCTGTTACATAGACCTGCACACTTGAGACACTTGCCACATTGCAGCAGAAAGCAAAAGATGGTTTTTCTGACAACTAAAATCATGCAAAGGACTGCACTCTTTGTGACGTCAGGGGGTTTGATCACGTCTCTCATCACCGCCTTCCTTCCATTTTGGAAGACAATGAACTCTGATCTGAATGAAGTGGAGAACTGGTTCTCTGGGCTGTGGCACACCTGCCTCTACACCGAGGAGGTGGGAATTCAGTGTAAGGCCTACGAGTCCATCCTGGGACTGCCGATGGACCTGCAGATCTCCAGGGTGCTCATGTCAGTGTCTATTGGCACTGGAGGTTTAGCTCTGCTGGCTGCCTTCCCAGGACTGGAGGGGGTTGAGATGTGCATGGGCCGACCTGGACTGAAGAGACAGCTTGTCATCCTCGCCGGGGTGCTGTCCTGGGTGTCAGGGCTCACCACCCTGGCTCCTGTCTCTATTGTGGCCTACACAACTCTGGTGGAGTTCTGGGACGAGGGTTTTCCTGATGTGATGCCACGCTGGGAGTACGGAGAGGCAATGTTCTCTGGATGGTTCGGAGGTTTGGCACTGCTCATCGGAGGGACTCTCTTCTTTGTAGCTGTGTGCATGGGGGACTTCGACCAGAGACCACCAAGTGTGCCAAACAGCCCGCAGGTGAAGCACAGGACAAAGCACTACCTGAAGACAGAGGTGTTATAGATTTCTTATTGCTCAACTCATCTGCGTATTCATTTACTTCATGCGGAGGCCTGTCAGCTTGTGAGGAGATAATGAAATGACTTGTGAAATACTTCAGTGGCTCTATTTTTGTGACTGACATGAATAACATTTCTGACTGAAGAAACATGGAAGCTAAATGGCTGTTTGTGTTTTATTGTTGTAAGTTAAATTGTTACTGAAAGTACACCTTTCTTCAATATCCGTTTCTGGTTAATATAGAGATTGTTTTTACAAACTATTAAAAGCAATGTGAGATAATAAGCAGCTGCACTAGTTTTTATTCTTGTAAAGTGTACAGAGGATAAGGCGTTATTTACCAGTAAGCATGCACCTAGTGCACTCTAAAAACTTTTCTTATACAATAAGAGTAGACCTTGACAGAATAATAATAACTCAAAAATAACCTCTTGATTTTAGTTAAAACTAGTGAAGCTTTGAATTTTACATCTACTGTGGTACACTGTCATGTGTCATAAGTGTGATTATCAGGAAATCCCAAATTGATGGGTAATTTAAGTGCACACTAGACAAAAACAAAGTTACTACTGTTTTCTGATGCTTTGAAAAGTCTGTTCCACACCAGTGATGCTTGACAAACGTGCTTCAGATGAGAAACACAGAAAATTATGTTATTTCTTACTCTTTTCAGTATGCAAGTATACTTGTGATTTGGATGTTTGTTATGATTTCTTTGATCTAATTTAATTTTTAGAGTTTATTTTGGGGATTCAAATTTGAATAAACTCATTGCAGCTTCTAAATAATTGCGCTGGTTGAAGAAAGTAGCATCATATATACCAAATTTAGTTCAAAATTCAGCAAAAACAACAGTAAACTAAATGGGAAGTCCTTCATACATAAAGATGTAGTACACTAATCAAATAGCTGCTCTCCAGCCCCATGCACAGGTCAGTACTGTACTAATATGAACCCTGATCTATCTGAACAAGCATGGAAACGTCCAACATTAATGGTACACAGGGTCTCTGAGCCCACTTCCAGGGCAGGAGTTGCATTCCAGTGCTGCAGCTCCTCTGTGTTAAATTTCGTTTCGGGGAGGGACTTGGCACCACCAGCTCCTCTCAGTCCTAAATACACTATTTGGCTTTGGTATACTGCTGTACATTGTGATGATTAGGACTGATTTGAGACATTTTTTTTGTCAGTTTCTTGGATGTCACAACAAATAATGAAATGATACAGAATAAATTACTGAGATCAGTTAGCATGGTATCAAGCTGTGCCTAGATAGTGTTTAACATGCCCATCTGTTTAGATCTAATTAACCCTCAGGTTGAATCTTACCTGATAACAGCTGACATTAATATTTTGGCAGGCTATAATTTGATAGTTTAGCCAATGAATGATTAATTCACTTCTCTTGCCTCCTTTTAATCTCGGTTTTTGCCAGTGGCGGCGCAATAGCCACAGCAGCCGCCCAGCACCCGCCCAGCACCCCCAAGAAATGTCTGTGATTTTTTATGTTTATATTTTAATGTCATGTTTGAATAGTCTTTTTCATGGATAGCTTTTCATGACTGTTAATAATCTGAATTAAATGTATTAAATTAAAATATTAGTCTTAAAAATGATGAGGGCGCAAACAGTGATCTTCTTTGGCCAAGGGCGCGCGGGCCCGGTGAAACCTTTGACCTTAACGCACGGCAGCTTGTTTTTGATAGCGGAGTTTGGAAATCTTTAGCAGAGTAAAATACACCAAAAATGGGACTCATTTTTGCTCCCTAAAATTACGTCCACTTCTGATAGTTTCACAACCTGATGAAGGGAAACGGAAGACGTTGAAGTTTTATGGTAAGTGGAATGTTTTCCCCCCTCTGTTGGCTTTTACAAATTTTAATTTCATTGGGGTGGCTTGAAGCGGGCAAATCTTGGGCTCGTTTAGTTACATTTCTGTGATTGCTCCAACAATAGGGAACACTACTGTTTATCATCAGCTAGTGGTTGGGGACCAAGGATGTTTTATCCAGGTCTTGTTTTCTGGGAATAATAACACAAGCAAAAACCAGAAACCCAAAGCCGTGTTTTTTCGGTTTTTTTCTTTGTTCGTTTTGTCAATAAAATCGAAAAAATCAAAAGTTCAGCTCGTTTTCTCGTCTTTTTTGGTGTCTTACTTTAACAAAACGAAATTTAACCACTCAATATTTTGTTTACGGTCGTGTGGGGCGGGTTCCTCTGATTGGCTAGTGCGCTTCCCTTGCCCTGTGCTTCTTCAAATAAAAGTTCTTCCGTTGATATGTCGACAGAAATAGTTTACTGTATTATAGACAGGCTTAGGCAGTACACCAGAGACCCCCCACCCACAGTCAAGGACTGACACGGCTTCAAAATAACTAAAGTATCAAATCATTTGAAAATGAGACTTCACAAGTGATCACAACCACATTTCTGATCAGTCTGAAGCATGGCGCATCTGTTGACCTTACTATTACCGAAACAAATTATTTTTTCTTGTTGAAAGATTATTTTATATTGTTTCTATTTATTATTTTACTTGACGGGTGATTACAGAATGCGGTGTGTGTTAATTTGAAAGCAGAGGCTGGGTGTGCCTATGGAAATATAGGCCTACAGTGAGTTTTTTAAAGGTGCTGTTACAAGCAAATTTGCATCATTGGTCTACTCTGTACAGTGACCAAAGAGTGTACGAGTAAACCTACTTCATTCAATATTGAATAGCCCTTACACTATAAACCAATGGTTTTGCTCTTTTGTTCATTGGCAGGTTGTGGGACATCGGACGTTATGTCAGCATGCATGCTTCACCTCATTCCAGGATGTATTTACATTTTGTCCATAGCCTTACTTGGAACATGTTTTGAAATGGATCTATTAAGTATCCTTCTTCCCTTAAACCCTCACATCACTGGTAAAAACTCCCAGGAAACCCTTTTAACAGGGAAAAATTGGAGAAAACCTCAAGGGTGAAGGCAACCCAGACGGGGACATAGATGATGACAAGAAAACAGTTATTAACACAGTAAATGTGGGAAACATGGAATCGGTTGACAGGGAGCTGACGTTGAAGGCAGCTTCTGGTCGGCCAGGAAAAGGCAGGGAGAGCAGGCCAGCTGGGTCGTGAACAAAGCGAGGGCAGGGCCGGTTTACACAGGCCGGCGGGGGGTTGGGTCGAATGCAAGGCGGGCGGTTGTGGCAGGAGGGATTGGAGCTTGTGGAGAGCAGGTGGCTTGATTGAGGGGGTTCAGGCCTATTAGCAGAACAAGCAGTGGTGATAGCACTCTCCCTTGGTATCGCATTTGATGTTGTACTTTTGGCAAGTTGGCTTTGAGTCGGCCTTCTAAGGTCTGTCTCCACACCCATCGAGTTTCTGGAATGAAGGCCCTTGGTTCTGTTGATCTCATACAGTTTCCACATTCCAGTATCCAGTGTGGCATGAGTCGTAAGTTTCTTTTGTAGTTGATCCCCAGGTTGGGTCTTCCTGCTCTTACAGTCTTGGGCGACTGCTCTATCGACCAGTAGCTGGTGCTTGGCTCCTCTGGTGTTGCTACCAATTCCCTTCTGAGCTCATGTATTGAGCTACGTGCTTATATATATATATATATATATATATATACACACACACGCAACAGAAAATCTCTGGAGCCGCCACTGGTTTTTGGATGCTGCAGCTCTTCCAGGCCCCTGCAGAAGAGAGTCCCCCTCTTGTAGTTCAATTAAACTGAGTGATGTATCAGTGATGTAAGGCAGGCCCGCCACTCCCTGCGAGAGCCTGATCAGTCATCTTGTTGTACATGTGCACACCGCCCACCCCTTGCTTCCACTCAAACATGCTTTTACATGTGCTTGAACACACGCAGAGAGCAACACAAACACACAGACACTGGAGCACATGTGCACGTGTCAGCTGTCAGCACGCTGCAGGAAAACAGTGGAAAATCTCTTTCATCTGATAAATCTCATTTTGTATTTGCACACATTCTGAAAACAAGGGCTGCCAATGCTTCATCCTCACCCTGTGTCAGTGCTGTCATCATTTCAATAGAAATGAATCTGAGATTATCAGGTGAATGACCTTGTCCCAGCAGTTATTTAAAGGGGGAGGCACAGTTCCTCCCACAGCGGGAGCATAAGGAATGGAAATATCTTGGGAGCTCATTTCTATAAGACTCGGTATAGGCTACTTTTTTAATCCTGCACCCCCCACCCTCTAACTGAAACTGGGATTTACTGCACCAACTGCATTTTCCTTCTTTCTCCCTCTGCTGCACACACTGAAAGAAGTCGAGCACACACACACACACACACACTGTAAGAGCTGTTTTAGTGTTTATAGCGTGCAGCTGTCTGAAAAGTAGTTTTTTTTTATGTCTCCTGGTGGTCAATATAAATACAATAAATGTCACACTGGTAAGTTTTAACAATAGCTGATACTCCTGCAGCACCACAGGCATGCAGCACAATGCATGCACAGTATGGAGGCAGTGTGGTAACTGGGCAGTCAGACCAGGCAGTGCAGTGGGGAGGGCAGCAAGTGTTTGATCAGGCTTAACTGGAAAGTCAGGTCTTTGACATCTGAAGGAGGTGAGGCTGAAAGGGTCTGAACAGAAAAGCAATCAGCCTCTAGGAGAGAGGGAGAGAGAGAAAGAGAGAGTGTGTGCATGTGTTCGGGAAAGAGAAAGGAGGGGTGGGAGGACGAGAGCAGGGAACGGTGAGGATTCATGCTGTGTTAGCATCCCCTCAGCAACTCCATCAATACTGCATACAGCTGAGAAACTGGCAAAGGTCCTCCGTGCTGCATTTGCAGGCTCGGCCAGGGAAAGAGAGCAACTCCCACGACCGGTCGGCTCAGTCTGCTGCTTGAGGGGGGCTCTGCGAGGGGCAGAGCACACACACACACACACACACACACACTCTCACACTTACACACTCATACACACTCACTAGAGCCTCTGCTGCATCAAGAAGAGGAGAGCGGAGGAGGGTACAGAGGGAAACACAGACTGGGAATACTCCAGTGGAAAGAGCCAATCCCGGAGAGGGACAGGATTGTTGAGGAGACTCGTGCTAATATGCTTCCGTGCTCCGCAGGGGAAGCTGAGCACCAGGGAGTTTGACAGAATCTCAGTGCACCTGCTCCATGCACACTGGTAAGCTGATTTACTATTTTTACAGTCAGGGAAACATAGCTCTGTTTTATTAGCTCCCAATACGATGTGTGTATGTGATGCTCTGTGGATTTTGCTTGTATTTGTACACTATGGGCTCATAGAGTACTTGTGGAAGTTGTTGGCTCTCTGGTCCGGGGACTCAGATACCAGATCTTCCCTGTAGAACCATGTACTGGTGCAGTATATAAAACTGAAATCACAACATCAGAAATGCTACAGTACATAGTAAATGGATCAGTTCTCCTACACACACGTAAAATTAAAGCAGATCAAACACTCATCTACAGGGCTGATTGAGTTTTTAATAGTTGGTACATCAGTAACTCACACAGTACATCTCACACTTTGTTTCTATTGGTCTGATTGATACTTATGTGTGTGTGTGTGTGTTTGTGGTGTGTGTGTGTGTGTACATACATGCTGAGAAACTGGTCAATTGCAGAATTGTTATATGGAAGCACAGCTCCTCTGTGGGGGTGTACACCCCTTCTGAAAACCACAATTCTAGTTTTCCATGACATCATGGAGAGGTTATTGCTCAAAGCAGCAGCAAAATGACCTGATAAAAAGTTGGTGGTGCCATTGTTAACCGGCTTGAGCTTTTTCAGAAGAATATTAATATACAGTATGTAAAGTTTCAGTCAACTTTAACAACTTTAAGAAGAGAAAATGGATACGTTACGTTGGATAAAGTTACGCAGTATTTTTCTCCTTTGGGCACCACAGTGATCAATGCTGAATGAGGGTAATCTTTGTTTTCTATAGCCACGTGGCATCTATGTATTACCTTAAACATTGAAGGTTTGTTTTTGAATTCCATTATAAGCTTAACTATCTGATCTCTGTTAATGGTAAAAACATAGGTCAGACCTTAGACATTATGTTCCATCCTTTTTCAGTTTATATAAACACAATATGCACACTTTAGATACTGTTTGGGACTTTCTCTGCTCTCCTGATCTGGTCTGTAACATGGTAATAATTTATCTACAAGCAAGCAATATAAACATTGTACAAACTTGGTGGTTAACTGTAATCCACTCTTTATTCTTTTGTAGTTAAGACACGTAGGCAATGGAGTAAACAGAAGTCAGGCAAAAGCTTCTTGCCATTCTGGAGGACATCCTGTTGACGAAGGGGCATAAATCTAACGTCTACCTGAAATACTCAGGCCTTGCTTGTGAAAAAATCTAAATAAGAAATGAAGAAATGCTATGAAGATCAAAGATTAATACCAATTTCGACCCTCTTGTTCCTCACATCAAATGCTTCTTTAAGCTGACAGTAAACAGAAGAGATAACCTCTAACAGCCTGGTGAGAGAGTACTTTTGTTAAACAGTTGGTTTACGCAATCAGGGGACGATTCCTCTGGCTTTTCTTGTTATTTCACAAACCAGGAGAACGTGCAAAACTTGTGAGTGAAGGAAAGAGGTGTGGTCAGATATTTAGAGTGCAGTCAGATTGTTGTGAGCTCTTGACCTTTATCAGCTGAGGATCAGAGAGCCCTAATCGTTAACGACGCTAATATACCTGCCAAGCAAGTGTGTGAATTAAACTAGAGACCACCAGTTTGGATTGCTGGAGGTGAATAAGCCACTAAACCAGCAGCTCTTCTTTTATTCATGTGCTGCTGAAAGTCCAGGGCCGAGGAAGTGCTGTAGAGTGACGTGTAATTAAAAGTTTTTTCTACATATAGATGTTTACAGCATCTGTTCCTCTGCTTCGGATGTTTGTTGTGAAGATGAGCTTTATTACTCGTTTATGTCCCTTTTTGATTAGTGCCCTCGTGTGGTGTGTTCATCTTGGTAGCTCAATAACATCACTGTTTGCTGTTGGTAGAATACGTTTTGAATGATGGATGTGACCGTCAGAGCGCGGGCACTTTGGTGCTCAACATTCCTGCTTCTTTTTTTTCACTCAGTCAGTTTATAGATGGGCCTCCTCCACCACCAACTAGGAGCTGCGTTTTTGCTAATTCTCCCCTCTGACATTCCAGTAACAGGTATTACATTTGTAGGGAAGTGAGTGAAACTGACAGCTTGTTTGCAGGCAGGATTATTAGCACTGCTTGGGGACAGGCCCAACAGTGAGAGAGCGGGATCTGCGTCATATGTTGTGAGGACCAAATCTGCTTAACCTACTTTAGTTTTGCACAAAATATCTTGGGCTTGCTGGAACTCCATGATGGCAGCTCTTTGTGATCCAATTTGTTGTTCATCAAAATTTCAGTGGTGGCAAATTATTAAAGGGGCAACATGTGAGAGAGAAGGCTGTAGAGAAGCTTATCATGTGTTTTTTACTCTGGTAAGTAATAAGCTGTCAAATAAATGTTAAAGTCTTCAATATTTTACTCTGAAATGTAGTGGAATAGAAGTACAAAATAGCTTAACATTTATATATTCAGGTAAAGTACCAACTTAAGTACAGTATTTGAGTAAATTTACTTAATTACTTTCACCCACTGCAAACAAACACATAGTTTAGATACAACAGCTTGATCTCAGCTGCAGAGTTGTGGCCAGTCAGAGGAGATCTTTCCATTTCTCATTTGCTCTCAGGAACTTTTTCTAAGCGGTGCTCCATTCAACACTGCACACTTTTTTTTCTTAAGTTCAAGGACATTAAGATGTGCTCAGAATATCAAGCAGTCCTTTTGGTTGTACCTCAAAAGGATAATTTGGTGATGGATTGCACCGCGTTGGGTGATACACATACACCTGCCATGCCGCGTCTTGCTCAGATTCATAGCAGCCAGTGAGCCTGTGAGCGACTAACTACTGTATGTGTGTGTGAAATACCAGAGCTGGCAGAAATGTGAGGGCAACGTGGCAACAAAAAACAAGGGGGATTTTGAAACTCAAGGGGCCCCTGCTTCCCTTTAAAGCGCAGTGTGACGAGAAAGTTAATAGGTGTCGGAGTGCTGTTAATATTTAACAGTTTCCATGCAATATGCATGAACAAAGGTAACAATGTCTGTGGAAATGTTCCTAATTAACACAATTGCTTCCTTTTTTACAAGCACTGACATGTTATATAGACACACACACACACACAGAGAAATAATCTGGCTAACTTTCCTTGGCACTCTAATTCTGACTCCTTCAGACACTTCAGAGCAACGTCAGCCACTTTTTGTGATAAATAACACAAACGCAGTCAGTGACTTTGACTGATTAGAAGACCCAGGACCATAAGAAATGGAGGCCAAATGTTTTGTTAATTTGAAAGGCAACTTTGTGACTGAAAAATTTGAAATTGAAAGCAGCCATAAAGCAGCCAATTCTTTAAAAATGTCTCCCCAGTGCATCTTTAAACCCGCCTGAGAAACAATAAACAAGCCATGTTGTAAGAGAGGGAAAAAGCCTGTTACATCTCATAAAACCTCTTATATCATGACAGCAGCATATCAGACTTTACACTCATGTAACTCATGACATGGACATAGTGTGTGTTGTTGACTATGTTGCTCCCTCCCTCCGCAGATTATGTGGAGGAGCTGACGTGTGCGATGGCCAAGCTTGACCTGCAGGTTCTCAAACACACAGTTCTGTGTTATCATTACCTCCCTACCAAGCGGCCCAGCCCGAGGATCTGACCGGCAACTCCCTCACCTCCCTCTCCCCCCTCCCTCCCTCTCTCCCTGGGTGTCCCTCAATTCTGGGCCCACCATGGGAGGATGCTTCTCCAAACCCAAACCAGGTAACCACCATGTTTCCTTATTTCATTTCAGGTGTCAGTTTAGTATGAAAGAAAACACAGACAAGCACAATAACAGCTGTTGTGCAGGTGTGGAAAAACAGGTGTTTTCAGAGTAATCTCACCTACAGGAGGAGGACAAAATAACAGGAACATCTTGTTATTATAATTATTGGTGAAATTGAGTAAAAAAGGTATGGAAACACCTCTATACTAATAAGTTTGTGCTCTTTTTGCATAACATGGTAAGGTGTTGTTGTAGTTTCTATCCTGCTTTTAGTATTTCCAGTAGGGCCAGTATTAACAAGGACTTATCGAGATGAAAAAGTAAATAAAACACCATAGTTTAACTGATGTTCAAAGCTGCGTTACATGTGATCGAACTCTTCATATTTATTACACAAGAAGCTCTATTGACTTTATTTTGTTAATCTTGCTCAGAATCATTTATTTGGACAAGAGACATTTGTAAAACAATAACATGATAACATCATATCATGACATTATTATTCTACTACTACTAAATTAGGAGGATCTGTTGGCAGAAATGTAATATAATATGCATAGTTATGTTTTCATTAGTGTATAATCAGCCGAATATGAGAATCATTGTGTTTTTGTTACCTTACGATGAGCTGTTTTTATCAGACACAGCGGGTCACCTTTCATGGAGTCCGCCATGATGAGCCACCAGTTTCTACTTCAAAGAAAGGTTTCATAACATGACAGTCCAATTAATAGCTGTAAACATAACATTATACAGTGATAACATAAAAATCAATTGATTTCAATTTAAATATTTTGTTGTTAATACAAGGAAGACACTCTGTCCATCAATCATTGTTTTACCGTTTCTATGTAGAGACCTATATTTTCATCTTCGATGTATTTTTTGTATTAAAAATGAACAAACTGGGTTTTTAAAAATATATTTAAGGACAGTTTGTTCAGTCAGGATCATTTTCAAAGCTACCTACAGCCTCCAAATCCTGTTACACATGTCCTCTCATATCCAGCCTCCTCGGTTTGCACTATAGTGTTTTATGTGGGAGGAATTTTAATGCTCTCTGTGGCATCTTTGGTCAAGAGGATTACATACTGAGACATGAATATCCCAATATGACACTGTGTGTGCGTGTGTGTATCCATATCGGTGTTAGCATGGCTAGGCGATTAGCTATGAGACTCATTTGCAGCTTTGACATGAAATCATCTGTTCCATACTTCATGCGGAGGTGAAGTGAGGAGGATGAGGGACTATTTGTCTGTTGACTGAACAGAAGCTGTCGGGCCTCTGAGGACTAATTAGTCAGTGTCTATCACAGTGTGACCTCCAGCTATCAATCGATGACAACTCAAACTTAACAGGAATATCTATTAACTTTGTCTTTTACACAGAGGTAAAGGTTTTAGACTGATCATTTTGATATTTTATTTACATAAGGAATCTTGTGTTGCCGAAAATCCACTGAGGAGACAGTGAAGGCTTGTTTACCCTCACAAGAATCACAGTTTTCTGCGTTTTACCATCATTTCTAGAGGAGTAGCTATCAACAGAACTTAACTTAACTAATTAGAAAATAAAGCAAACCTTTTATAAAAAGTTAATTGTACTAAATCGGTCCTTATTTTTGTGTGGCTTATGATTTTTTGGCACTTTAGATGTATCCAAGTTTATAGTATGTTTTGAGTAGATATTGGTTCAGTTCAGTTCCCCCAGATGGGAAACTTGATTTGCAGTCAGAGGCACAAACATAAAAAAAAAAAAACAACACAAGTACAGACAAAAACAAAAAGTACCAAAAACACAAAAATGATTCCTGTACATACAAAATTCAATACTCAGAAGACTCAGGGGATTCAGCTCAGACAAATGCTTAATATGAATATCCTCATCATTAAAGTATCAAAAGAAAACAGAGATCTGCACTAGTATTATGGTATGGCATCACGCCATCTGAATACACAGTAAATAAACAGAGTGTAACAGAGTGTACAGTGTAAACGGGAGTAAACTTGTAGACAGGACACACTGTTCTCTTCATTTGCATCAACATGTGAACAAATTATACATAAGGATCTAATCACCCTGTAATCCCTCGCAACTAAATAAAATGTCTGTGTTAAAGCTCTAAACACTGACAAGATCAACATAAAAAGCATTTCAGAAGATACTTTGGCACATGTTCGAAACCAGATAACTTTTAAGCGCTGATCAAATGAAGCATCAGTGTGGTGATTTAGCAGCAGACATCCAGAGATTCTCTTCAGCTGTGGAAAGCTTTCTCTTTATTTTCTCCTGCGATTGCACTCACTATTATGATTTTCCATTGATTTTAATTAAGACTTGCTCAGCAGGAGAAAATTCCAGCCAGATTACTGTGTAAGAACCGGATGATCAGCACATTTTTCCAGCCGAACAGATAAAGCCTGCTGCAGTGAAAAAAGGAGTTACACAACCATTTCTTAATGTTCAGAAATATAAACCCAACAGCAGCGCATCACATGTCATCATAGAAAACTGAATGTCTCCCAAAAGACAGATAAATATACTCCACTAGTCTGTTTTCTTCTTTAGGAAAGCAGACAATGTGCACAAACACAGCTGGTTTAGGCTGTACTTGAATGGAGTTTTTGTTGCCTTTATGTCAGTTTCACTTATGGAAATCTCCTTATTTAAGGCATTGTAAGTTAATTTAGATATAGGCAGATTGAGACGTATGGAGAGTAGTGAGTAATTTGTTTTAAATTTAGTAGTAAAATGTTGAGCTGCCTGTCTTTCTTTCCAGACTTTCCATATATCTGGTATGATTGGCACTGCTCTGCATAGGAAGTTTTTTGGTGCTTTGTAAGACTGAATTCCATGTGTAGTGTATTTTTTATAGTATTTTGAAAATCTGGATTTATATTGTATGTTAATACGTGTTGATTATGCTAAATCGCTAGAAGGTCGAGAGGAAAAGAAAAGAAAAAGAAGACAAGGTTGCCCTTACACACTCCCCCTTTACCTGCTTCCTGCTTTCATTTGTTTCCGTTATGGAGATGTCAGACTCAGTTTGTCCCAAAGTTGTAGACGTCTCTACTAGCTTAAAGGCAAATTACTCTTCCAAAGCAGTGGGGAAGGATGGTAATAAAATGCCAGAGGTAAACAGGAAAGGTATACAGGAATAATAGCTCAGTCCACTGGTGATTGGTAGCATTAATAATCTGCCAGTATTACTTAAACAGATTTGTATTTGAAAGCTTTACAACATCCTTTTACTGCCATATGTGATTGTGTTCAGTCGTACATTTTCTAAGTGAGATGTGTTTTGTGTTCTGCAGTTGAAGTTAAAGTGGAACTCTCGCTCCTGGAAAAAGAAAAAGAGATGGACGGGCTGTCACCAAATGGCAAAGCGAGCCCCTTTAGTGACTGCAGACCTAACGGGGCCCTGGGACACGGCTCTGATGACGACTCCACACCGCTCCCCCTCTACCACAAACCACGGGACTATGTGGAGGCCTCCGTCTGTCATGTTAAAGATCTGGAAAACGGACAGTAAGAGAATGAAACACGCAATGAAACACACATGCTCATTAGTCCTAGTTATTTATTGTTAAAGGGAGACTTCACACAAAAACACAATAAAACAAATGTTTCCTTCATTGGCCCATCAGAGAAGCATCATTGCAGTACAGAAATACTAAAAACTAAAGCCTACTGTAACAGTAGCAAAAGTAAAAAAGAGTCATAAAGTCACTGAACTCGCTCAGTAATGTTAGTTACACAGCAACATCAATCTAAAGTCACACACATTAGACCAAGTGAGGCTGTAGCAGCAAACCCCCGAGTGCACTGAACTGAGCAAGAGTGAGTTTTATTGTTAATGAAATCAGCTTTTAATTTGCAAGAGGAAGATTATGTCTCTTCTTTAATAGTCTTTTTACTACTTTTACTACTACTATAATAACTATATTATTATTGGTGTTTTCAATTATAACAATCATTACATATTAATGAAATGGTCAGACTTGGCTGCAGATATATAATCAAATGAAAAGGTAAGTGTATAAAAACAGTAATTAAAACAGTACAGTAATTGAAACGTGTAGAAATCATTACATTACATGGATAGTTACACTTTATAATCTTATTCCAATTTTTCCATCCTGTAGCAAAGTTTATTAATGCACACTCACTCTTCTTAGCAATAAAATCATTTGGATAAATAATAATTACTTTGACAAACAAGGGATTTTCAGTTTTGTTATCTGGATAAAAATTACATAGTCCTGTTTTAATGGTCACTAATAAGCATGATTACCTGGATTATTGTCATTTAAGTGTTTTTGTGTGAGCTGATCCTTTAATTTATTCGGCTCATGTTGCTAGCAGAATGTAGCTTAGACACATAGATATAAATTACAGAAGCTAAGCCTGATGTGTCCTTACTGCGTTGTGATAGTGACATTTTTCTTCCAGGATGTTTTTCACCTGTAAAATGGCCTTTTGTGTGTTTCTTCGATGGATTCAATCATACAGCAGCTATGAATGCACGCACACCTTTTTGTTGTTGTGTGTTTGACAGGATGCGAGAGGTTGACCTGGGAAGCGGCAGAGCTTTGTTGATCAAAGAACATGGGGAGTTCTCAGCCATGGGCCACAAGTGTCCACACTACGGGGCACCCCTGGTCAAAGGTGAGTAAAATATTTTCAAGTATTATTAACATTCTTAGTAATATGTAATATCATACACTTGACGTCATTTCCTGTCATATGCAGGTGTGTTGTCAAAAGGACACGTGCGCTGTCCCTGGCACGGCGCGTGTTTCAACATTGCAACGGGAGACATCGAGGACTTCCCTGGGCTGGACAGCCTGCCTACCTTCCAGGTGACCTTCCCCGCTGGTGCTGTCTCTTAACACATTCCCTGCCTTATCATGTCTCTAAGCACCATCAAAAAGTGTACACATCGCTCATGTCTGTTTGCTCCAGGTCAGAGTTGAAAAGGACAAGGTGATCATTCGTGCAAACAAGCAGGTAACAAGAAAAAGAACGTGGATAATTTATGCAGGAAACAAAACGGACCACCTGACTGATCTGAGATCCATTTTTTAAACATTTCCAGGCTCTTCAGTCACAGAAAAGGTCAAAGCCCATGGCCCGATGCTCAGCAGTCATTAACTCCAGCACGGGCTTCAGCCATGTTCTCATCATTGGCTCAGGTCTGTGTGTTTTTTTCCCTCCTTCTTCATTTCCCACTCCAGGATCCAGTTATATTTGATTGATTTCTCAGAGATCTTCCTTCACTTTTATCATCTAACGTCTCTGCAGGTCCAGCAGGTCTTGTGTGTGCAGAGACGCTGAGGCAAGAGGGCTTCACCGATCGCATCGTCATGTGCACCATGGACAGACATCCTCCATATGACAGACCTAAACTGAGTAAGGTTTGTACACAGACCCTGACCACTAGAACTGGCTTTGCCAAGAAGGTTACGTAACATACTGCAGAGGTGCAGCTTTGGTCAGTGGTGCTAAAACAGGAGCTCTCTGGGGAACAGCTGCACTTCACAGCAACAAAAATTTAAAGAAAGTGACCTGTGCAAGTAAAGAGACATAACTCAGTCTAAAAGGATGTGACTTTCCATTGCCATTAAAGCTTGAAGAACATTAGGCCTATTATTAATTAGCTTACAGTTGTCCAAACTCTTGCTTTTGAAAAGTTTTGTATTTTTACTCTGATGCACTAACTTGCTGACCTTTAGTCCTTAGAGAGCACAGCAGAGCAGCTGAGATTGCGCTCCATGGACTTCCTGCAGGACCATGACATTGAACTGCTCACAGAGAAAGAGGTGAGAGGTTCTGACCTCAGAATCTGAAGTGAATTCTGATTTAATAATGGATAATAATAAATCAATTAATTAATTAGATCTGTCTTTGGCAATTTCCACAAAAATCCAACACATCAACCTGTGCGATGTTTGCTTTAGGCGGTGGCAATAGATGTGAAAACACGATCTGTCACCTTCGAAGATGGCTTGAGGATGGAGTACAGGAAACTCTTTATTGCTACAGGAAGCAAGTGAGGAAAATCTTTTATCACAGGGGATAATTAAGCAGCTGAGATTAGATATGAATAAACTGACATCTAATTGCTTCCATTTCCTGCTTGAAAGACCCAAACCAATGAACTACAAAGGCAAAGACGTCAGGAATGTGTTTCACCTCCGGACGCCCGAGGATGCTAACAGCGTAGCGAGGCTGGCCAACAACAAGAACGCTGTGATTGTGGGAACATCGTTTGTTGGTGAGAAAAAGACACATTTATTAACAAATTCTTCACATTTATAAGAAATTAAAAGAAAGTACAGTAGAGGAATTGTGGACATTTACTCAACTATACTTTACTTATTTTCTTGTCATACTTCTTACTTCTACTCCACTACAATTCAAAGGGGAATATTGTGCTTTTTACTCCACTGTAATTATTGTACAGCTTTAGTTACTTTACTGTTAAATGTACAAGTACAGCTGAAATAATTAGTCATTAAATTGATTGACAGAAAATTAAAAGGCAACTATTTTGATGCAAAAACATTTTGTGGTTCCCGCTTCTCAAATGTGAAGATTCCTTTTAATGATTTTAAGAATTTTGAGGTTTGGATTACTGGTTGTGCAAAACAACCATTGTGAAGGAGTCACTTTGGATTGTGGGTATTTGTGGTGGAATTTATCAGAATTTTCGACAATCAAGCGATGGAGAAAACAGCAGATTGACTGATTAGTTGCAGTCCTATACAAAATCCATAAACTCAGTCAAATCCTTCCTTTATATTAATGAATGAGTAAAAATAACCTGATATAATACATCGTAGTCATATAGAGAAGTATAAAAGTAACGGGATATTTTTCTGCATTGAGTACTTTTTACACTTTAAGTAGGCTAAATTTTCCTGAGTATACTTACATATATTTACTTATGTAACATTTCCAATGCAGGACTTTTACTAGTAACAAATTATTTACAGCTTAGTTTCAGTACTGTTACTTAATCTGGATACTTCCAGTGTGCAAGTGTTAGACCACCACAAGCTTCCAGAACAACTTCAGTATGTCTTGAAAGTGACGCTATAAATTGCTTAACCTCTGTGTTTTAATAATAATAGTGTTGGAAAGTGCTGTCAAACACATTGGTCCTTTGTTGAGTGTGTGTGAGTGAGTAAAACACATTTATCAAGTGACTTACTCTGACTTAAAGCAATGTGTAACCTTTAAGAACAACTCTCAAGTGATCACATGATTAAAAAACATGTATTAACAGCCAATCAGAGACAACGATTTACCCTACATCTGCTGCATTACTTTAGAAAATCCTTCCATTTTACTCAGTGAGATGTAAAAACATGTAATTTACATTTTTATTTGTGTGCAATCCTTCATATATCCAGTGGTTATTAACATGTGAAACCAACAATAATCCAATATACTGTATTTAGAATGTATCAATATATAGATTGTGTTGACATGCAAAGATATTGGCAAAAAAGAAAAAATATTTTGTACAGTCACTCCAAAGTGTGTTTTAAAAGGTGTGTGCTCACCTGTTTCTGTATTTTATTATTCTTAAGTTTGCAAATAGGAGTAAAAGTGACAGATTTTTACTCTTAACTTAATAATAACTCATCATTTTCACCCCTCAGGCCCTGTACGGAAGAATCTGCATCTGTTAGATTTCTCCACCCATTTATCTTACCCTTTTTCTTTCATTTGTCACCTGCCTGTATCATTTTGCATTAACTATGACATATATTGACTTTATGCTGTTTATTTGTTGTGTTGGCAGGCATGGAAGTGGCTGCAGCTCTAACTGACAAGGCCCACTCGGTCTCTGTCATCGGGATTGAGACAGTCCCCTTTAAAAAAGCTCTCGGGGAGAAAGTAGGGAAAGCCATAATGAAGGTAGGGACACACTCCGGGGAAATCAAGCTTTTCAGAACACAAAGCACCTACGCAATACAATTCTCATCACTCTCCATGGCAAGGAAGCTACTGGTTAAAATGCAAATGACATTTTTTGTGGTCAATACCCAGTAACCACAAGAGAGAATGGTTTCCTCTCATTAGCAAGCTCACATATGAAAATATTTTCACATGGTTTCTGTGGCGTGTTTTGTCTTTGCAGCTATTTGAGGCAAACAGGGTGAAGTTCTACATGCTGAATGAGGTGTCAGAGATGATTGGCCATCATGGACAGGTATTCAGAAAGTGAGAGAAACAGCATGACATGATGCTCAGCAGCACAATCCTCTCTTGTTTAATCGACGCTGGAGACAAGATCAGATCAGAAACATGAGGATATCGACCAAAGTGTGTCAACTTTAAAGCCCCTGAAAATGAAAATAAAAGACTAAATGAGCAACTAAACCTACATCACCTGGAGTCTGTGGTTTGATCAGATTTGATTGACAGTGCTGGCAACAGATAGAAACTCTGAGGCTGTGTCACAAATCACTTTCTATTACTAAATAGTGCTATAGACACTCTATAATCTCTATATAATGGCCTAAACAACTCTAACTTTAGAGTTAGTTAGAATTTTAGTAAACGTTTTTAGGGGCTTTAAAATCTTTATTTCATGTCTAAGTAAGAAAGCTGTTACTGTGTCATTATGTATATCTAATACATGGCATAGACATTTTGTTTTCCTGTTACACAGTTGAAAGAGGTGGTGCTGAAGAGCGGAAAAGTCCTGCGGGCAGACGTGTGCGTCATCGGGGCAGGTAATGTCAAATCTTCTTTCATTACTTTCTGTCAGTGTCCAGGGGCATTTCTAGGCTTGTCTTAGAGTCTTAACTTTTTTTTTATTTCCATTTTATGCAATTCCAACAACTGTTTATGGCCCGAGTCTGCAGAAATATTCAAATACAATTGGCAAAATGAACACAATTATACTGCATGTGATTAGCATAAAGTGGGCGTCTCTGCAAAGGGGAGACTTGTGAGTACTCATAGAAACACTTTTCATTCAGATATCTAGAGGTCAGAGGTCAAGGCACCCCATTGAATATGGCAGTGCCAGTTTTTAATTTGTTTTATAACTTTGCGTTATTTAGCCCTGTTCCCAGCATGAATGGCATGGTTGGTAAAAATGTATACGTTAATACGGTCATCTTGTTTTATATGAAATCAGTATCTTCACTTCACACAGCCCGCTACAGCCTCTGAAAGACAGTGTGGAGTGGAAGAGGTGAGGATAATGGGGTGGCCAATCAGATTTCTCTGGAAATGCCCCTGTCAGTGTCATTATAATCACAGCAGATTAAGAAACTCCCTTTAATTACTTTTTTTCCCCAAATCTGTTTATTGGGATTTTACAAAATGATTATATCACAATAAAAGCTTGCAACATTTCAAATAAATCCCCACCTTCTCCCACACCACCCATATCCCCTTCAGTTGTATGATAAAGTATGATAAAATAGGGACAACAATGTAAAAAAGATACAAATAATAATACTATTACAAAAGTGATAATGACAATGATAAACCACCAGAAGCACAACTACACTTAATAAAACCTAATAAAATACTAGGTTTGATGATAAAGAACCTATCAGACAAACACAATGAGCTACTGCATTGGAAAATAATAATAAAACCAAGGTGACACGGCTCAGGAAATGCAGGACTGGACTCAAATGTAGACAACGATGGCACCAGGATGACTTCAGTGGTTTATTGGATAAAACTAGCTTGAGGCAGGTATTGGTAACAGGCAGGCAGGTTGACAGGTAACTGTTAGACAGGTTGACAGGTAACTGGTAGACAGGTAACAGGCAAGTGGACAGGTTTGGGTGACAGAAACTCACACACTAATTACACTGGTGAGGGAAAGGATAACAAAGCTAATCAGGGTGGGGCAGACAATAAAACTGGAGGGGAAACAAAGACAGGAAGTGAGGTTAAACAAGAACTCTTATTAAACAGATTACTTAACTAAAACCCAAAACCATGACACAAGGAGAAAAAACAGAAGTATTATGCACCCATATATACCCTTTTAATGACTTTTGAAATGCGTCTCCTTTCCTGCAGGAAGTGTTCCTGCAACAGGATTCCTCAAACAAAGCGGCATCCACATGGACTCCAAGGGCTTCATCACTGTCAACAAGGTATTTTACAAAGCCTGCAGCCTGAGTGAAAGGGTTTTCTTAAGTTGTTTTATTATGTCACTGCTCTAAACTTTCTCCCAGATGATGCAGACAAATGCTGATGGGGTCTTTGCTGGAGGAGATATGGTGATCTTTCCTTTCCCGCCACGCAACAACAAGAAGGTGAACATCCCTCACTGGCAAATGGCTCATGTACACGGTGAGTGTGACACAGCTTAGATAGTATGTAATGGAGCTGTTATGAGCCTAAGAAAGGGGTCTGCAACCTGTCCAACATCAGTGGCTTTGACAAAAATATATGGAAATTAATAACTCCAATTGTAAAAATTCGAAGCGGATACACAAATAAAACAAATGTTTTTGCATTTTGTTAACTAAATATGTGTCAATACTGAACTGGCCACATAGCTGACAAAGGCTTATGAGTGCCCAATTTGAAAAGTCTGAGCCTGAATATGTCACCCGTGAGAAGGACATTCTCGCTCAAAACCTCAAATGATATTGAAAACCTCCCAAAACCCAGACAAATATGTGTTTCAAACATGGAACTTTTGTGGGTAATTGGAATACAAAGAGACCTATTAGTCATGTTGATGGGCTAATTTAGACTTAATGCTCTATTATAAGGCTCAGATATGTTTTACGGATCCCGATTATTCTTATTATTCTTATTATTTGGCCAAAAGACAAGCACCTAAATGTCTTTTCAACCTTACTGACAGGAAGGGTGGCAGCTCTCAGCATGATGGGCAGAGCCACTGAGATCAAAACTGTGCCTTACTTCTGGTCAGCCATGTTTGGGAAGACCATACGCTATGCAGGTAGGTACAAGGCCTTCCATCTCTCTGTAGTTTAAAGCAGTGGGGGATAAAGGGTACATTTATGTGGGACACTGGGTAGTCTAAAATGTTGATGTAATTCCCTTCCCTGCTTTGTTCACAGCCTCTGGATTGAAAAAACTGATTTTAGAAAAGCATCTGTCCTGCAGTGATTTGACTTTTGATAACTAGAACCAATCAACATGTGGGACACATATACAATTAAATAATAAGAAGAGACTAGTTTATATAAAACAATGACATAAAAATGTTTGTATGTGTGTTTGTTATGGAGATATTTTAAGAATATTGTGCTTTTTTTGTCATACTTGAACGCTGTAAAAGTGGCCCTTTTATAATATGACAATACCAGCAGTGTCCCTGAACCAGACCTCTGGTTTAAAGGGCTTTATTTTATCAGTGTTATGAGACAGACATGCTGTCAGAGGAAGATTAGAGGTTGTCAAGTGTAGTTACTACACTGCCATCTAGCTGTGACAATAAAGACCAAAGACTAAGAGCTGAGCCTGAATTAGACCAGTTTTTTTCTTGCTGTTGACGAATACATACGTATACTTATATCATTTTCTACATGTGAAAGGTTATGGTGATGGATTTGATGATGTCATTATACAAGGAGATCTGGATGAACTGAGATTTGTGGCGTTTTACACCAGGTAAGTTTTATTTTGGGTTGATTCTCAGTTCCATTGTTATAATAATCTAAAATAAACTGGATAATGTAAAGTAGATGCATATTTGGCTTTAACTTGTGTTATCTTTTCTGTATTTATGTGCTGATTTTAGTCTTAAATCGTGCCTCCTTGTCTAATTTAACAATAGTTTCTCATTGTTTCTTCCTATGGTCCATCTATAGGAGTGAGGAGGTGGTTGCTGTTGCCAGCATGAACTATGATCCCATTGTATCCCGAGTGGCAGAGGTCTTAGGATCCGGAAAGACGATTAAGAAACGAGATGTGGAGTAAGTCCCCTTCCCAGACTTAAATCTGGTCTCAGCTACAATAGCTGTTATGTTCTTTAGGTCTCTCAGGTTTTACTGTGAAGAAAAACATGACAAACGTTATTATCACTCTGACAGAAAACACATCGAGTTGGGGAGCTTGTGACTTAAATCACATGGAAAGTATTATACAAGCCAAACTAGTTGGCTTATTGAAACTATAAGTCACAGTTCTACAGAAAAACAATAACACCATGTTGTTATTTTGTTCTGAAATAATACAGTGATGCTTTATTTCACAGTTTGTGTCATTTTATAATAATTTCTGTGGATGTTACAAAGATAAAAATAACAATTTAGTACAAAATATAGGAAAGAACCAGGAAATTATATAGTTATATAGTTGTGTAGAGCTCATAATCAGTTATTAATTTCATTTTAATTGCTGTGAACACTTTAGTTTAACCGTCCTATTAAGTATATATTGTGTATAAACAATTAATTAATTGTTTAGAACATTAAACTATTGTCGTAAGCAGATTTTAACTTAAATTTAACTTAATTATATTGGATTAAACACACAAACAAATCCACTCAAACAGTTTTCAAATGTATTAAAACTAATCAAACTCAACTATATTCTATATGTTTACAATAGTTTCATATTGTTATTATATATTATATTATTGTAGAGACTATTTATTAATTGTTTATATACTGCTAATAAATGCTAAATTGGGAGTGAGGATTAAAATAAACTGTAGATAGAAATTAGTTGCTTGTAGACACATTTAAAATTCTTTGCATATTAATTGTGACTTAAAGACTCTCAGTTGCACTAGGAAATAATTGTAATTAATGTAATTCACTTTCCCTTTTATTAATATCAAATTATATAGTATTTTACAGGAACATTTAAAAACAATTATGTCAGTTCCTTAAATTTGAATATAATTATTGACTTTTGGGTCCTGTTAAATAGTGTTACTATACGACTGTGTCACTGTCGTTGTGTTACTTTACTGTCTGTGTTTCTGTCTGTTTTGATCTGATTTGAATGTAGTGTTCCTCATGTCTCTCATGTCTTTCATTTCTAATCACGCAAACTCAAAATTTGAAGGATGTTAGCACGGCTTGGCAAGTACGAACAAATATGAGCTTTTTTCCTATTTTCCATTTCATCCATATTGACTGTGTGTAGGCAGGGGCGGATCAACAGGGGTGGCATGGGGTGGCAGCCAATCTGGTGTCAAAATTATGTCAAATTTAACACATTCAACATGTTAAAAAATGGAAATTAACACACATTTTAGACTGAGTGCTAAACTTTTTAGACAATTTACTCATTTCACCTTTAGATATTTTTATTATGTGGCACAATAATGTTTTTGAGTTCAAATATCTTCATATGGGGCCTTTTTCAAGTAAATATTGATGTGATTGATCTTTCTGCCACCCCTTAAAGTCTCCATGCCACACTCCTGCCACCTCATTAGTATTTTCTATCCGCCAATGTGTGTAGGCAGGTTGTCGGCTATCAACTTGATAAACACACAAATGTGACTCATGGATGCTTTTTTTTGTGGTTTGCAGGACTGGAGACATTTCTTGGTTGATTGACAAAGGCTCTCAATGACTTCACATCTGACAGTCACAAGGACAGATCCAAAGTCCACCTCAATATAGACACTTATGGTGCTGAGACACTGAGCAGCTATCCCGGTCTGGACACACACTCACTCACACACACACACACTGGGGACAGGACTTGTCAAGACACACTTCCCTGAAGATGACACTGAAACTTGCTTTTGTTCCTGAGAGACACTTAAACGTGACAAACGAAGCCAAATGCAGTCTGAATACACTGAATCACTCTGTTGGCAGGTCTTTTATGGCAATCTTGTCATGTTTCACTACAAAGCAATATTGGATTCAGCCTCTGCGCTGCTGCAAGATGTATCTACCTGTACACTTTGTTTATAAGAAGCCAGGGAAGGGCATTGACATTTTTTTTTGTACAAATAACATTGTATATATGCTATAATCCTGAATGCACTGTAACAAAATAAGAACATACAATTTGAACTGAATTTTTCTAAGTTTTAAATAACAGATTTGGTTGTATGTTCGCATACAGGCCTTAGTACTGCATGCTATAATTTACTATAATAGGAGTTCAAACAAATAAGCCCCTAAACAGAGAGTTTTCTATTGAGATACATCAGCAAACAAAGCTTAAACCTACTAAAAAAGAAGAAAGAGAAACTGCATAATCACTGCAGCAGAACCCTGAATGCAGCTTTAACTCACACACTAACAAACACACACACACACACCTGCAGCTTTAATTCGTAATATATTACAATTTCTAGGATTACAACATACCTCTTTGTATTGGTTGCCTTGCTAGTGGATTCCACAAATGAAATTCTAATCAGACTTTGATCACACATTAGTGCTTGCACAATAGATTCATGTATTGTCTAACAAATAGATATCACCCCTTTAGAAGAAATCTAAAGTATAGTAGCTCACATGTAAGGTTATTTTTTATAGCGGTCACCTCCATTGGGATATTCTTTGTTACTAACTCAGGGAACTGAGGCTTGTGGGCTTCCTGGAGTTTCTGGTCCTTTTGCAAGCAGAAATTAAATTGCTTTAATATTGTTTTCCCGGTATATTGTTAATTGCACCAGTTCCTTTAGAAACTGCTTATAATGGGTGTAAAGAGGGTTATATAAAGTGGATGCTTGATTACATCCTGGTGTGCTGGTGATCCCAAAATACTTGAGTCCTGACACACATTGTTGTTCCTACAGAGAAGCCTTGGATGGCATTTTTATAACTAAACTTTGAAATAAAAGTCTTCCAACAACAACTACTCACTGCTTTACACAACGTTTCCTTCTCCATGTTACTCCACCTATTGTTTCTGTGTGCACTCTTTACTTTATTAACAAGGAAAACTGTAAATAGTCAGTAGAGTAAAAGTCAGTAGAAAATGTTTAATAATTTTCGAGGATGTGACAGAGTTTGCAGCTTTATGACACGTTTCATTCTTTGAGTCGGGGTTACTAAGAAAAACAGTCTACATTTCTCACAATGAAAATATTTTTTGGAAAAAATTACACAGAATAGATAAATTCACACACAATTTATAAATGAAATCTCACCAAAAAAAAGATTTTCACTATTGAGGAGGACACCTAACAAACACACACACACACACACACACACACACACACACTACAAAACTTGACAGTGTTCACAGTCATATTGCAAACAGCCCGTAGAGGGTATTTTTACATTATTTGGGTAAAAAGCACCTCAAAAGACTAATAAATACATCTACAAACACTGGCGTGAAGGCAGAACATGGTAATATAGTCATAAGACCGGATCTATAGACAACATGAAGGGTTCAGTGCTAGATATACATCAGTGCAGTGACAGCACTGGTTGTAAAATTATTTAAATGACTGTGGTTTATGTAAATATTATCACATAAAAATCACACAACAAAACAGAGACTCTTTGGAGGCAGGAGACAGCTTGCAGCTCTTACTGGTATGAAAATATTTGAAAAAATGTCCGACTATAATGCCCAAGTGTTATCACAGCATTGATTATTGTAGTATTATAAACAGTCAGACTACAAACGCATGGAGGATATTCTGGCATCTCATACTGAAGAGGACATGACAGACATCCGGATGGTGGAGTGGGATTTGAGGACTACGAGACAACAGACTTTACAGAGGACATCATAAAAAAAACACTATTGCTGACAGAAAGGAGCTGCAGGTTATTGATGAAAAGAAATTAATAAAAAGTCCATTTGTAAACACTTCTTTCTAACATCTGCATTTATGCACTATAAAATTGAAAAATATCTATTCACATTATGAAATTAGTTTTTATCAAATGACTACAATGACAGCTTCTCCTGTAAAGGCACTTTTTTAAATTCTTAATCTTTAAACTAAGCTCTTGAGATGAGAAATGCTGGCAGTGATCTCTGCTGCATTGGAGGGTTACACATCTGCCCGACTGAGAAGAGAAAAACCTGATCGTTTGGTGGATGATCATCAGTTTAGAAAGTCCCGCTGGTTCCACTTTAAACCATGACGCACTGTGGCAGATGAGCCGATCATTCACTAACATCTTGCAGCAATATTCCGTCTTCAGCTTAGAGGTCATATTCTGGGGTCAGAGGTCATATTCTGCTGCACACTGCTGCAGGTACCATTCGTACAACTTCCCCTGTGGAGTAAAATGAACTGTGAGATTCACAATTCTGATGATTCAGATTTGACAAATTAAAATGTTCATTTAAATCTGCATTCAAGTTACAATCATTTAGGTTTTTATGAATTCAAACCCTGTTTTTCCCCATTTAATGTATTTACATTCTGTAAAAAACTCTCTTTAATAGTCGATTTAATTGCTAATGTGTCTCCGTGTGTCAGGGGTTCACAGGAAATAGTGCGGAAGTTAACCTTTGTAGTTACTGATATCACCTGAAATTTTAACCTTATATAAACGTTGTGGCAAAGTGTTAGCAATTAGCACTAAAGTTGTGGGTCATGAATCCAAAACGATGAACTGAGACACTGTAAAAAGCTCCATACAGCTGCAGAATCAAGAAATAAGTCTCAGTGTGTTTGTTCTTGTACAAGGACATCTTCTGCATTACACAGTAATTACACATGCATTACTGCAGCTTTAACTTCTGTGACTAGACATCACTCAAAATAGAAATCTAACCTTCTTAGTTTTGACGATGTCCTGGATATAATCACTGTACTCTGCCATCGCCCTCTTCTCCTTCTTCGTCAGAGTCTTATTCCCTCGGCTGAGGAGAGAAGAACATCACAACAATGTCCACTCAGAATTTCAACAGTCACTCCCTCTGTGTGTGTTTGTGTGTGTGTGAGAGTGTGTATATGTTGCATGTAAAACACACCCTCCTTGACAAAACAGGAAAAGCTCTACTTTATTCAGACAATTCCCAGAGGGTTAATATTATTTATGTTAAGGGTTTCACTTTAAGTAACCTGGTCCCCATGTAGATGGAATGGGCATGTGCGTGCGTAGGGCTGCAATTTACAATTCATTACCAACAAATCTGCCAATTATTTTCTCAAAAGATTACAAAATAGTCAACAACAATATAATTAGAACTTCTAAACCCCAAAATGACATCTTTAAATGTCCTACCAACAGTCCAAAACCACAATTGAGAAGCTGGAATACATGTGTTTTTTTTTCAGAAGCAATGAGTTAAAGGTCCAGTGTGTAATATTTAGGGGGATCTACTGGCAGAAATGGAATATAATATAATAATATAATAACAATGTTTTCATTAGTGGATAATAACTTGAATATAGGAATCCTTATGTTTTTGTTGCCTTAGAATGAGCTGTTTTTATCTACAGACACCGCGGGTCGCTTTCCATGTTTCTACAGTAGTTTAGTACGGACAAACCAAACACTGACACCAGATATGGCCTTTCATATATAGTTTCTCTTACTTACTTCACAGCCCGTTCTCATTCNNAATACAGATGCGAGCAGTGTTCAGTTAGTTGCAATCTGAAACTTCACCACTAGATGCCACTAAATCATACACACTGGTCCTTTAAACAATCGATTGATTATCAAAATAGTTTTAATCAACTTATTGTTTTAGCTCTAAGTGTGTGTATATGTTTGTATTGTATTTGTAACACTTACCCTGCAAAATACTTTGCTAGGAAAAGCAGGAGGTAGCAAAATGCTCCAAAAACGATCACAAATACAACTTGTCCATCTTCTGGTATCCAGTCCCATAAACACATCACTATTCCCTGTAAGACACATGTTCAACAGACGCTCAGAGAACCAATAAAAATGATTGCAAAATATGGAATTAAATCCTGTTTACTCTCAGGACTTACTGTGACAATGGAGAGGGTCCGAGCCGGCCCTTCGCCCAACAGCTCATCCAGCTGCTCTTTGGAGAAAGTGTTCACAATGAAACTGAGGATGAAGAGGGTAGGAAGGACAATACCCAGAGCACCACACAAGAACGAGTGCAGACGGACGCTTTTGTTGTAAGTCACATCAGCCCTGCGTGCACACAGAGGAAATCTGGTTTTAATATCACATTCTCTGCAGCGGGTAATATCTGTTATCTCGTCTGTATACACATGATATGGTTTATTTGCTCAAGGACGCAACCTGTCATTCTGCATCAGGGTAAATTAAATCGAACACAGTAACACATGCTAACCTGTCCTTCTCTAATCTGCTGCTGATGGTGGAACGAATAAGGTCACAGTCTTTCTCCAGCTGATCCAAAGTCTTCTGAACGGCCTGGTTGATGGTCTTCTCGATGGTCTGACACACTCCATCGATCTGGTTCACACACCGGCTCGGCTAAACAAGACAGAGGCTTATAAATGCATAAAATCTGGAATAACTGTGCAAACACGTACAGCTGTGCATCTCAAATAGGGAACAGGGTCTGGAAACGTCCAAAAGAAATCCTGAGGGGTGTTTTGACTGACAGCCATGTGCATTTAGCAGGAAGTGAAGCTGCACTTGCTCAGCGAAAATAAATTGGAGGTCAGGAGGGATGCACAAATCTACCATGTGGAGTAGAGCTTTGTGGTTGTAGATCACAAGATGGTGCAGCAATAACTCAGGGTTGGGGCTGCCATTGTCAAAGGTGGCCCACAAGAGTGGATAACTCTCTCAGTCATCATATTGCAAAATGAATCATCCTGTCCCAGCCAGCAAACCTGGAGTGGAGAATTTACATTCAAGGATAATCGATGGCTGTTCAACCCCAAGGATAGCAGAGAGCTTTAAATCCAGACTAAAGATCAGACCTAGATCTGTTAAAGGGAAACACTTAAGAAAAAGGCCAGAAACAGGGAGATGCAGTGCATCATTTAGGGCAATTATCAGATGGTATTGTTTAAAGTTAGTAAAATTGAAGGTTAAAACTAAAAACATATAGATTTAGACTAAAATGTCATTTATAGGAACATACAGCAAGCAAACAAACCTTCTGGGGGTTGGGGATGTATATCGTCGGCATCTCAAAACCACATTTGTTGAGACCAGGACGGCGACACAGTTCCTGGACTATCTGCATCATCACCCTCTACAGAAACAAACAAATTAAAGTTAATTTATTAGGTTTAACTTGACTTTTTGGGGGGATCAAAATAAAAGAAATACAGATTTAGTGTACTTTACCTGTCTGTCTGTTTCCTTCCCAGCTTCATCCGCCTTGCTGAGGTAGAACAACAGCTTGTCTCCACATTTCTCACTCAGCTTCTCCACAATGTTGAGTGTGCGTTTGCAGAGGGCCTGGCCCATCGGGTCGAAGAACACAAATATCAGGTCGGCCTGTTCTCCTGTACAAAAAAAACAACATCCATTAGAGGAACAACAGCTTTAGAGTAGATAGTTAAACAGGTGCTAAGACATACCCAACCAAGTGATGGCGCTGTTGACATCAAAAGGGTAGACCATGTCCCCGTCCACCAAACCCGGTGTGTCCATGAATGTCACCAGACTGAACTTCTTCTGTTTGGAGGTGGAAATCTCAGCAGACAGATAGTCCATAACACCTGGAATACACAAACACTGTGTGTGTACAGGTGTTTCCTTCGGGGTAAATTCATAGTAACAACGGTAGTAAATAAAAAGTTGAGTCCCCGCAGGAAGCTGTCGCCTTTAATGACTATATTACTATGTGCTACTGGAAGCCGCAGTGCAGTCAATACTTGGAAACCTGAGGGAGGCCGGTGTCAGTAAAGATCAAGAATGCTGTCAACCTTTTGGTGCTTGCAGGTTTGCATTTGCAAGAAGTGTGCATTTGTAACTGAGCTGCAAAATCGAGAGGAGGATGATCTGGATAAAAACATGTGTGTCAGCTGTAAACAAACATTTAAAAATAAGAATCAATAAATTCCGGTGTAACTCAAACAGCGGCCACACCCTCACAGATAAAACTTCAATTTTAACACGTGACATATTCGTTAGGATCTCAGTTTCTCCCAACGCCCTTTTTGCGGAGCGGTCTGGTTGTCATGGTTACACACAACAGCTCTTCAACTGGCAGCTTTAGCATGGGGCGTGGGACATAAAGCTAGCCAGTGAAGAACGACTGTGAGGCAACGCACTGTGAGGTTACGATACTCCCGACACAACCACCACACGTGAGTCCCCCCCCTCAAACCCTGACTTTGAGCATCAGAACAGGATCACTATTTAGACATACTCCCACTATTGACAGAACCCCACCCACACCCACCACCCTATCCTTCCCTCTACACACACACACACACAGGCCTGGGATGACACTGAGGCTGTTTCATAGGAAGAGGCAGGTGTTAACAGCCAGCACAAATCACATCCTTGTGCTGCAGCGAGCAGAGCCACTGCTGCTGGGCCACATTAGCATTCCCTTATGTTTCTCTTACAGCAGCATGAACACAATATCAATGCATCTGCCTCCTATCACACGTGTTAAAAGTGAATTCCTACAGTCTTATGATTATTGTTGCGCCAAAAGTGAGAGGTAAACATAAATATATAAAAATATGCAGATATTATCAAGTAGCTTCATGTTTGATCTCTATAAAGGCTGCTGGATAATACTTTACTTAGTCAGGATTGTTCAAAACATACATGCGTGCATCTTTGCATTACTAAAATAAAAAAATAACAATTATGCTAATCAATTTAAAAATAAGTAAATCAAATAATAGCCTTGATACAGACATATTCGTCCACTCTAGTGGAAGAAAGTCCTCTGAGTCTCCAGAAAGGTGAAAAGGAAACGAGAGCGATACTCGCCAATGGGTGCTAAGTTCCTCAAGTGACTGTAACTGAGAAGGCTACACTGGAGATCCTGTGCACAGGAAAAGGGCAAAGGCTGCAATAATGCTGCATCGACTAAAAGACTAAAAAAGAACTTGTTGGACTAAACAGGTCAAACCAGACGCAGTGCAAATATATCTACAGAAAAGGAGTAAACAGCACAGCCTTAAAATCTTTGTTGTCTAACAGTAACGGCTCATTTGACCTGTGACAAAAACACTCATGCAACATGAAGCTGAAACTCTGTACAACAGGTTGATAAGATGAAGGCAAAAAGACAGAGTTAAACATCCTTCATGTAAGTCTAAAACAACATAAAGAAGTGTCTCAAAACTGTATAATCAGCAGATACTCCCACATAAGGATATATGGTGCTTTTTTTCTGATGAGTCATCCTCAGTCGCTGTCACAGGTAAACAAATGCCTGATAAAGTGTATTTCCAGAGGTGGCGATGAAGTTCAAATAAAAAGCCTGCTTGTATTCCAGCAGTAGATCGTTGGTGTTGCGAGGCTCTGCAGGCCTACAGAGCTGTTGCTGCTGGAGTCTGGGCTGTGCCGTCTCTAATGGCTGTGACATTTCTCAGCAGCTCCTCCTGACTCCACTGCACTGCTGTCGATGGGGCGTGTGACTCACACGCCATACCGTGAGCACTCCGGTCCGCACCCAGTGAACCCTCACTCCCTACACACCTCACTGTCAACGCACACACATACATTACTGCCTTCCCCTCCCCTCCCCTCCCCTCCCCCGTCCACGCTGATGCTCCCACTCAGACAGCAGGCACACCCAGACTTTCTGCACGACCACCTCAACATCCAGAAGCTTCAGGCCACTGCTGACGCACAGAGAGCTGAGACCATTTGTCTTAACACAATGTGCCTCTAATGACGTCTCTTTCTTCTATGAGAGAATAATCTCAACTCCCATATCTCGGAAACAAACAGCACAAAAGAAAACTTAATACGTCAAAGCTGTGACTCAGTGTTGAGTCATCAAGGTGAAGCATCTAAACTCGACCTCAGATCACAAAAGACAAGTCTTACCTGTGATACCCATAAATAACTCATGGTTACATGATACACACAGGATCAAACAGCCAGAATGTTTACTTCATCTTAAATAGCAAAACTCAACTTTTGAACTTGAACATGAGTCTGTAACGTTCACTTCAATTAACTTTAACAGTTTCCAATAGGAAATATTTATGGGCCACACAGCAGGACGCTATCTTAAACCTTAAAGGAACCAATCTCTGTCTGCAGCTCATAATTGCATTCATCTCCTGTTCACTGTTCCTAATGCTGCTTCTCCCTGCTGTTCCAGCACATTTTAACACTTTATCCTCTCTATTCCGTCTTTGATGTTTTTCATTATGATGCCAGCAGAGGGGGAAATAAATCAATAAAAAACACATTTCTTTCTCCCTTGCACACACTACCAAGGTGATAATATTCATTTGAATTTTTAGGCGTTAGGTAAAGTTAATGAGAACGTGTTGTGCACCAAGACTGCAGTGCTGATCTTATCCTCGCACAAAACGGGGAAATATTTTATGCTGGTTTCAGTATTAAAGGCAGTGAGATGCAAAGCCACTAGATTTAAGTGACTATCCTCATATTAAAAATGTAGTAAACTGTTCTATTATGTGAGATGTTTAGAAATGTTATGTGACGCATCGCATTAGAAACAGTGCAAAATCTGCATGCAGACAACAAATCTACCCATAATGACTGATTTATGAAGATAAAAATAGCTTTTAGAGAAGGATAAGTAAAGTAGAGAGGCCCTGCGTTTCAATATTACTCCATTTTCAGTACAAACATGCTAAATACTTCAAACAGTGCACTTTTCAGAAAGCCATTATGAGTTACTGATGCTAAAACAAGAATAAAAGGCTTACCTTTGAACTCAAGCAGTGGTCGAAAGTGAGGGTAGAGATGTAGCGTCGCATTCCCCTGTGAAAGAGGTAAAAAGACAATGTGAGAAATAACCTGATATGGTCTAATATGAATCTGCAGTTTGCTACTACAGAGTGCTCTCTCTTCTCAGTACTTCACTCAAGTCTTACACCAGCTGCCGTGCTGCAGCTCAGTACGCTCGCTTTAAGCTTTTCCTGTACATAGGAGATAATCCTTCCGCTCTGCAGTCCTGCACTGCAAATACAGTATATTATTCATCTTCATCACCTTCACCACAGCAGGATGTGAAGAGAAAGGCAGAGGAAAAGGATGAAAGAAGACGGAGAGACAGGTGTCTCCCAAGCCTGTTTATGTGCTGCAAAGATGCCTCTGTGTGTGAGTGTGTGTGAGAGTGTGTGAGTGTGTGTGTGTGTATACAACAAAGCCCCTCATTGGAGCAGCACACAGAATGAGAAATCACCACTGACTGAGGGAGTGCCCTTCTATACAAGCTGAAATCGAATGCATCGCTTCATCAACCTTTATGACTGGCTGCAGCGTCAGTTCCCATTACTGAAGTTAAACATTCAGAAATCCCTCATCCACATATCTGAGAAGTGCCGTCTGAATATGAAATATCGTTAGTCAACAAACACTGAAAAGATTTGGAAATAAAAGCATGCAACACAAAGCTGGTTGTAAGTGGTAGTTGTCTTTCTTTTCAAGCATAATTTGGTTCTTGTGTTTTAGGACTTTTCATCAGATCTTACAAACAGTGAACACCAAGCCCCTCTGTATCAGTGCTGGAAATGTTTGCTGTCTTCATGCTGTTCTTACCGTCAGTGATTCTCTTTTGCGACCACTTGTGATGAACGTGAACCCCTGCGTTTCAATGGCGACACCTGTTTTCTGTATGTGCTCTTCAGCATACCTAAAATGACAGCAGCAGGCATCAAAAACTATTCCTATCTTTTTAGTGAACAGGATCTAATGCACTGCAAAAAGGAAAAAAAAAACTTGTTTCTGGGAAATTAGTCTTATTTGTTGTCTAAAAAGAAAAATAATCTTGTCAGGCATGTTTTGCATTAGAAAGGTAGTCTGGTTTTAAGAAAATATATCTCAATAAGATATTACAGCTAATATGGAGCGGAGTTTTACCAGTGACAAGTTACAACAATGGTTTGCATAACATCCTAGCAGAGGAACAAGATTATTTTTCTTATTTTTTTTTAGAGACCACTTGCACAACTTCTACATTTAAGAGAGAAGTAGTCTTGTCCCAGTCTTATTGTAAGATTTGGTTTTGCTAATTATTAATCCTAAATTAAGCGCGGTACAAATTTTTAAACAACTATGTTTTCATTGCTTATAATAAGCACAACTTGCTTAAATATTTCTATTTCTAGTCTTAAGGCCCATTACAGTCTTTCAGTGCCAGATTATTATACTACTTTTAAATTCTAGCCAAGCAAAATCGCCTTACCCCATTAGCAAGAAAGAGACTTATTCTTAGCAGGGCTGCAACTTACAAATATTTTCAAATTTCAAATCATATTTTTTGCAACTCGCAATATTAGTGTGCACAAAGCAACCTCTTCATGTTGCTTATTTTGTCCGACCAATAGTCCAAAACCCAAGGATATTAAATTTACAGTGATATTAAACAGGGAAAAACTGCAATTCATCAAAACGGTTGAAACGGTGAATGTGAGCCTATAATAATAAACTGCACACCAACAAATATGAAAAAATATTTAAAATTTACAAACACTACATAAAGCCTTGTTTACTCTTCTCAAATACAACATTTTGTATGCATTCAGTATTAATAACAGGGCAGCACAATTGCATTATTAAATAATAATAATCCAAATCACAGAAGCTTAAATTTGCTGATAAAAAGTCAAATGTGTGTCAAAAGTGCTGTGGTGCTCAAGAAATGCTCTGGCCTACCAATCTTGTTCTCCAACATGTTTGTTTGGTACAGACTCCAACAAAGTAAAGGATTTTAATAGTTTGTTTTCAGTGATAATGAACATTGTGATGCAAAAATGGTTATTCATCATAATTTTTTTTACCACACTGTGCACCCCTAATTAATAATAAATGTGGGAATTATTAAGATTAACATCTGTAACATTTGCATAATATGAGAGTACAACCGGCTGTTTTAGCTAATGCAAATAATGGCGAGTAGTCCTTCCTCTCAGGGAGAATCCCAATCATCTCCCCAACCAACAAAAGCTGCAATACAAAAAACTGTCAAGTTATTGATTAAACCAATTTAACTGAAGCTATGGAAATAAATGGTGAGTGCATCAACGACTACAACCCATTTAAACACAGCCCGCACATCCCACCCCCAAACTCTGAAATATGTGACTGTTAGCATGATTGACAGCTGAGCTCCTCGTGGTGGCGTTTCGAAACACATTCCTGAACTAGCTGAGAGTAACGTTTCAACTGTAACACAGATTTTTACAACCCCTCCAACAGAACACTAGGGTTGTGCAATATATATAACATTTTATTTTACCAGACATGTCTTTTAGATCTGGGATCCGGGGACCAATGGGGGTCCTTGAGTGGGTTATAGGGGGTCCCCAGCAAAAGAAGGAATATATTAAATATTCTAACTTTTAGCACATTTTTTGTAAGTTGGAACAAGGGAAGAAACAGGGTTGAATGTTTCATCATTGATTGACTATGAAGACTT